CAGCTGTACGGCCTAACTATGTGACACCAAATGAGTAGGACTTCAAGCCTCATTCCCTATGGTGGGTAGCTTTAATTGTCAATTTGACACAACCTAGAATCACCTGGAAAGTCTCAGTGAGGGACTGTGAGCTGCCATGTAGGTGCTGGGAATCAAACCTCGGTCCTCAGGAAGAGGAGCCAGTGCTCTTAACCATTGAGCCATCTCCCCAGCCCCTCTATGAGGGACTGTGTACACTGGGTTGGCCTGTCAGTGGGAGACTGTCTCAAGTAAGCTGATGCAGGAAGACCCAGGCCACTGTGGGTAGCACCATTCCTAGGCAGAGGGTCCTAAACGCTATACTAATATTGAAATTCAGCTGAGTCCAAACAAGCAAGCAAGAGTATATACAGTTATTTCTTTCTGCTCTTGACTTCGGATGCTGCGTGACTGGCTGTTTGAAGTTCCTGCCTTGATTTCTCTCCCATGATGGGCTGTCCTGGGATCTGAAAACTTCCTCCTCCCAGCAACAGACACTGTGATACTTCTTTTCGAGACACCTGTCTACCTTCACGTTTGGCTTTTGCTTTTGTTTTTCTTTGGTTTTTTTGAGACAGGGTTTCTCCGTGTAGTTTTGGTGTCTGTCCTGGATCTCGCTTTGTAAACCAGGCTGGCCTCGAACTCACAGAGATCCGCCTGGCTCTGCCTCCCAAGTGTTGGATTAAAGGCATGCACCACCACCACCACCACCACCACCACTGGCCACATTTGGCTTTTGAACAAAAGGTTCTATGATGGACAGTCACGTCTGGAGTGAGGTCCATTGCTTTAGACACCTGTCACGCCTGCAGTCACAGCCAGCAACTCATGTTTCTACTTTGTAACTCTAGACCTCAGCCACTGTTGGTTGGTCAGGAAGTGGACACCCCTACAAGAGCCCATTCAAATCTCCCTCCTACAAACCAAAACTGAGTCAAATTTGATCAGAGTCAGTCTTTGCTAGAGTCTAGAGCTGTGCATTTTAACCCAAGACCGAGGTAGCCGAGGCAGCCAGCTGCCACTGTGCACACCCATTCCGTCTCCCAGCACCCACCCCTGGCAGCTCTTTCCTGTGACTTGTTCACAAGGACCTCTTCTGTTATCTTCTATGGAGATCAGCCGGGGTCTTGAGCACATTAAGCAAGTGTTCTACCACTGAGCTACATCTCTAGCCCACGTGTGTGTTGTGTGTGTTTGTATGTGTATTCATGTGCAGAGGTGTACATGCAGGTGTAGGCCAAAGGATCACCTCAGTATGGTCCTGAAAATACTTTGTTCATTTGACAAGGTCTCCCACTGCCCTGGAGCTACAGGGGATCACACAGGCTGGCCAGCCAGCCCCAGAGAGCCACCTTTCTGGCTTTGGGGAGGGTGAAGGGGTTCAACTCATATTCTTATGCTCGAAAGGCAAACATTTTACCAAGTGAGCTATCTCCACATTCAGATGGGGTCTCTTACTGAATGGCCTAGGCTGGCCTTTGAGTTTGCAAATCCTCCTGCCTCAGCCTCTGGAGCAGCTGAGATGACAGGTTTGAACCACCACACCCAGCTTCCAAGGACAAGGAGTAGTGGTACCAATCCCAGCACTCATGATGCAAGATTTGCCTTCAGTTTGAGGCTGGGACACACACACACACACACACACACACACACACACACACACACACACACACACACACACACACACACACACAAAGCCAGCAGTTTCTGGGCCTGGCCAGCCAGTCTTCACGCCCTGCTCAGCCACCAACTACCACAAAGGTCATGACCCATGTCCCTGGTGCCCTGGGATTCTCAGCATTCCAGAGCGCTGCACACAATGGCAGTGTTTGTGGCAACTCAGAGCATGCTGGGAAACTTAAACGTCCAAATGAATGATGTGGAAAGATGAGGAGAGAAGCCAAAGCCAAGAGGCAGAAGCAGGGTAAGGGCAGCCATCTGGGGCTCCGACGTCCTTTAATAAAGGGTTACTCCCAAGAGCACAAATGTCAAGATCTGTCAGAAACTGAGATGTGTTAAGAATGTGCAGACTCAGGAAGTCGGCAGGGAAGGCTGGTTGTGGACTGTTGGTTTTATTCAGGCGCTCCCTATCAGTGGCTGGAGGATGTGCGCTGGTTGAAATGGCATCAGAAGATACATAAGCTCCAGTCTCACAGAGAGGAGTCCCTAGAAACCAAGACCCCACACTGAAGGCCAGGCCCGTTGTGAGTGCCCTGGGTGTCTGTTGATCCCTCTGTGGTGCTATGCTCTCGTTACTTGCATTGTGCTGGATTCAGGACGTTGTGGCTTGGCCCCAGACCCTCCCTGCCTTCCATCTGCCTAACTCTGATGTCTCATCTGCAATGGACCAGGGACCAGATACAGTCCCATTCCCTTGGATGGCAAGAAGGCAGCACCCAGGCTGGGGATGCAGGTCAGTAGGAGAGCATCTGCCTAGGACACACAAGGCTTGGTTAATGAGCCCAGAGTAGTCAAGGAGAGACAAGAGGACCAAAGTCCATGGCCATCCTCTTCCACGTAGCAAGTTCAAGACCAGCCTGAGCTACAGAAGACCTTGTCTCAAAAAATAGATAATATAGGAAGCTCCATTTTGTGGGTGAGGAAACTGTCCAAGAGGCAGATACCAAGCATTTTCAATGAGTTTAGCTGACCGTGGGAATGGCCAGCTTGGCAGGGGGATGGGTGAAAGAGTAGTCTACCAGGATGGAGAGCCACTCTGCCTGCCCCTTCACCCCCACCCCCACCCCCTTTATGACCTCTGTAGCCTGTGACAGCACTGTTTCCAGCTCCTTGTACCTTCAAGTACCACCAGGAAAAGGAGTGGATCTGCCCAGTGCCTGATGCCTCACGAGGGAGATCCTGGAGCTGGCTCTGCTTCACACGCTACCCCCACCCTCCATCTGTGTTCCTGCACTTCTATCTGCCCTAGCTCAGCCCTTCTGGGGACCCAGAGCTGGACAGCTCCACCCCATGCGGATGAGGCTGTCTCCTCAAACATCCTTGATTGCTTCCTAGGCTACCCCCATCCCAGCCTGCCTGGGTAACTGCAGGACAGGGAACTTGCAGAAGACACCTTGAGGCGCCTACCTACTCCACTCCTGCATCATCCACAAACCAGGCCAGTCCCTGCTCTCTTCTTCCTGGCCCTCCTCTCCCGGTAGCATGAGGTCAGGTGTGCAAAAGCCTTGGTGTAAGCGCTTCTCATCCTCCCAGCAAATTAGTGGCAGATCTCTTTCCCCTTTCCTCACAAATCATTTGTAAGGCAATACAGAGACCCAAGTCTACAGTGAACCTTTCTTATTTTATTGAGACAGTCTCACTGTATAGCCCAGGCTGGCCTCAAACTTAAGACAATTCTCCTGCCTCAGTTCTAGCCAGGAATTATAGCTGCATACCATCACACTTGTTAAGCAGAATTACAAAGGGTGTATCCTGCCCGGTACAGCAGGGTCTGCTCACTCCCCCCAACACCCTGCCTACCCTTCGGCAAATCACTCCATCCCCTTCTAAAACTCCAGCCCTTTGTCCCTTGTCTGAAGCTTCTCAGTACAGGGCCCTGCTCCTTAGCCAGACACTGACACACTTTGACAATGGCTTGCCAGTAGTATGACCTGCACCCAGTCCCAAGATGGAAAAATCTATCTTCAGCCTTTCAGAGTTCACTCGTAGCCTGGAACCCAGCAAACACGCACCATCAGTAACCACCCTTCAGTCCCCCAGCCTGGCTCAGCCCCTTAGCTCCCCATCATATTTCTGTACTGGCCCTGTTCTTGCTCAGCTGGAATTGGCTTTTATTCTGTCTCCGAGTGGGGAGACAGACCAATTGTGTGTCTGCTGCAATGTCCTGGGCATAGAAAGCTCTGTGAAGTATTGGCTGAATGAATAAAAAAGCAAGATACACCTAAATATGGACATCTACTATGTGTTTAGGTGTCCCTAGGGATAGTAGGTGGTGGGAAGGCCAGCACCCTGCAAGACCTACATGCAACACTAGATGGCACAAAAGCACCCAAAGAATTTGCTGCAGACTGGCAGGGAGGGCTTGTTTTCAGTGGAGGGTCTAAGAATGGCAGGACACACTGTAACCACTACGTTTTCAAGACAGACCCTGTGGGACATACGCTCATGCAGGTCCAGATCTGAAGTGTCCAAAAGTATGGCAAGGCCTTCAGCATAATACAGCCTTGCTTAGGGAGCCCTATCTTTTTTTCTCTATGCAGGCCTTCACTGGGTTGGATGTCATCCACCTACACTATGCAGCAACCTGCTTCACTTAGCATTGGTCAACCCAATGAGCAGCTTATGCAAGGCCATACCCCAAGGTAACACAACTTTCACATCCACACTGGAGCTGAGAAGCCATGTCTTGCATGGAGACCCACGTCTCCGCCGTTCCCTCTCCCGGTAGCATGAGGTCAGGTGTGCAAAAGCCTTGGTGTAAGCACTTCCCATCCTCCCAGCAGATTAGTGGCAGATCTCTTTCCCCTTTCCTCACAAATCACTTGTAAGGCAATGCAGAGACCCAAGTCTAAAGTGAACCTTTCTTATTTTATTGAGACAGTCTCACTGTATAGCCCAGGCTGGCCCCAAACTTAGGACAATTCTCCTGCCTCAGTTTCAGCCAGGAATTATAGCTGCATACCATCACACTTGTTAAGCAGAATTACAAAGGGTGCTATCCTGACCTGTGAAGATTCTGTACTCTGCAGACTTTCAACATTTTAAAAATAGCTCAAGGTTTGTGAATGAAGGTAAGGAGTTTAATTGGAGGTGAGAAGTAGGTGTCAAGACTGCATTCCACTCTCCCAGCAAAACAGAGGTGTAGTTGCTGACAGGAAATAGCTAAGCAAATCTGCTGGTAGGAGTCAAACTAGCGGTTAAAATTGGGGCTTCAACACTTCCCACTGGCCAACCTGTTAACCCAGTTAATTTCTACATGATCCCAGGTACTGGGTCTACGAAACAGACAAATTAAACATTACTGGTAATAAATCATAAGAGTATTTATTTTGAAACGAGGTGCCTACAAATGAGATGAATATGCTTTTACATTACATAATTTTGGGTGAGCATTTGATCCTGCAGGATGCAGAGTGCCTTCAGCATTTCAGAGCTGGTCTCAATATTTCAACTTTATAATCACTGATTCAGAGAACACTTTACACAAACATGGCATAACATGGAAGAAGTGTTTTTAGGGTCATTTCAAAAAGTGCTGGGAATTCTTCTGTTACCACCAACTCAAATTTTCAAACCATTTTTATGAAACTCAAAAACTCTTGAAAAGCAAAGCCATGGAGGCAAATGCCCATAATCATAGCAGTTGGAAGTTACAGGATCTTCATGGGGGAGAACACAGAGGCAGCTAGATCTGTGTTCCAGGCCAGCAGTGAGATCCTGTTGTAAATAAACAGCCAGGCATGGAAGCCCACACCTGTAAACCCAGTACTCCATAGACGAAGACAAGAGGATCAAGGCCAGCCTAAGCTACATGAAAATACTCTAAAAAATGAAGCAAAACAAAACCCCAGCTCCCTCCCAGTGAGTTTAATCTTGTCAATTTACCTTTCCTAATTCAAACCCTCAACCCTCTAGCCTCCACAGGGTCCAAAGCTGGCCTCAAACTCAGTCCTGCCCCAGCCACCCAGTGGTGTGCCCCCACTCCAGACCCTTCCTTATCTATTAGTGACAGATAATTGCGAGGGAGCTCTTCTACCATGATCATGTTCTAACAAGTGCTGGTATAGTCTTAATTCCAAAGCCAGGTCCTAAAGCGGGCATAGTGATACATTCCAGAACCCCCAGCGCTTGGGAGGCTGAGGCAAGAGTCACACAATGGAGACTGAAATGGGGTGTTAGGAAGAGGGTTACTCTGTCAGTGGAGCCCTAATTAACACAGGAAACATTAGGCCTTTAGGATTGTAACACAGACAGCATCACCAGCACAGGCTGTGCCTAGTCTCTGCAAGGCTTTATCACTCAGGTGTTAACTGTCTCGGGTCACTAGAATACACAAGCTCAGCCTTAGAACTTCAAAGTCACACCCTAAGCACAGAGGACTGCTATAGTCAACTCAGAGCCTGCAGGGGGTATACCTCAGGGAAGCCCAGCAGGGCACTGTCTTCACCATGTTCACTTCACGTTTGCACACGGAGGCCAGGGCCACCCCCCCACCCCCACCCCGGCCTGTTGAACCACTCTCTAGGGTCAACTCACCTCCCAGGCCCCTTGCTTCTTGGCAAACTCTGAGGCTTTTGCATGAAGCCTCACCATGGTACCAAGTTCCTAATGTACTAATGGGCTTTAAAGGTTCATTTCACAATGCCTTCAACTGTAGTTTTTAGTTGTCTGCAGTGACTCCCCCCACTACCCCCACACACAGAGTAGACAAATAAATAGTACCTGACTTGGATAAAGGTAAGATTACAGGATTCTTGCCTTCCAAAACAGAAAAAGAAACTGCTTAGTGTAATTTTGTGAATAAATCTATCTAGTTGTACTATAGAGAAATTTTAGTATATTTAAAATCTTGAACATTTCAGAAGTGCTACTGAGTTATGCTCCAGACTTTCAATGACTAATGATTGTCACTCCGTAGTCAAGCTTTCCTACTGGTGGTTCCCACATCACTAAACATGGTCACTTTTACAGAGATTCCAGTCTATGTCTACCATCACACTAGCAGCCAGACACTACTACACAGGATCCCTCACCTACTGTCATTAAGGCAGGGGTTCTTAACCTGGAATCTGAGATCCTTTCCATGCTGGAAGTCAGGTAGTAAACAGGCTTGCTTTTGTGGGGTGAGGTATGGGCGAGGGCCACAAAGCTCTTTCTCAAAGGGATATTAACCTAAAAGGTTGGTATGCTTTCTAGTTAGTCACCAAAAATCAACATTCAGTTCTGCAAATATACACCAAGCCAAATGTTCTCCAAACCCTTTAATACAGCTGAGGCACAAACAATAACACTTTTTTTAATATATATTAGAAGAAAGATTTGTTGTCAGGATCATACACCAAATTCCCCACCATTTCTTCAGCAGCAATTCCATTATCAATACTCTGGTCCATAGGTTGATTCAAGGTCATAAAGGCAAGTCATAAAGGCAGGTGGAAATGGAATAAATATCAAACCTGCTGGAGATGAAAGGAACACAACACCTGGACTTTGCCTAAGTATGCTCACTATATTAGGGCATTTATACCACCTTTCCAGGAAGCTCCATTTAAAATGTTTTCAGTTAGAAAAAACAGTAGCACCCAGCAATACACCTTTGCCTGAGGCAGCATACCAACATGTTGTAACATGCACATTCTCGAATGCTCCTGGCAACCTTCAAGCTGTTTTTTTTATACTACTTTAGTGTTAGTCTTGCCTTCTGGCAGCACTTACCAGCACCTGGTTCCATCTATTTAACTTGGGGTGAGAAGAAATAGTGTTCAGCACTTGTTTATATGGAGGAAAGTAGTCCCTCCATAACACAGCTAGTGTTCAAAAGCAGAAATGATGAAGCTCCCTCCATCAGTCACTTAAGAAAAGTCTTGACTTAATCAGTCTCAAAGTAAAGACAGCATCTCTAGCCTCTCCACTGCCAGGAGCCAGGCCACCAGGTGCACACTGTAGAACCCTCTCCAAGAGCGCCCTACCCCTCAATTCCCCAACCTCCACTCCCCCCGTGGCTCTCTTAGCCACACCTGGGCTGATGCAGGACTTTGTTGGCAGTGCAGTCAATCTCTGGTCACCATTATGATACTCGGGACTGGAGTCCTACCAGCAAAACTCAGCCAGCCTATTTGTAGCATCACACCCCTAAACACACACCTATCTAGAAAGCACTGGCAAGGGTTCACCACCAAAGGCCTGGAAAGGACCTATAGATGCCTCAAATGTGTGCCTCCAGGTCTGGCATTCCACCAGAAAATACTACAGGTGAGTTGTTCACAGCTGTTATCCATACACTAACCAGAGGCAGAAGCTAGTTAAAGCCTCATTCCAGATTCTTCCTACTAAACTACCATCAGAACAAGCCCACGGTGAGGCAAATCAAAACAATTCCAGGGCATGGAGGCAGACAAGCTGCCCACGAGAATGCTGCTCGGTGAACAGATACCAGCATAGACCACAAACAAGGTCTTCACACTTGAATCAGGACAGCCCATGTCACCAGGTGAAAGGTTGCTATCTGAGAAGAGATCCCACTGCTTCAGCCAAGTCTCCAGTCAAGATGACACTCTATTGTCACCGTGAAAGATAAATTAGTTAATCCACAGGAAAATTGAAAGAGATACACTGTTAAAAGCAAAAAGGGAATCAACACTTTCACAAGCAGACCATCACAACTGCCTTAAAGACAAGTTTCTGGTTAACTGACACAAGAGTAACAAAATCACTTCACATCAGTAATAACTGACAAAGAAGTTATTTCACTTAGAGGTTTAATTGAGAAATACTAAGTCAGATAAACATGCAAATTCAGAATATAAACAAGTGCAATGCCTGGTTGTTCTGAAATAATCATCAGCCATCAGCTGGAGACAGACCTAAAGACTCTCAACAGAACCAATTAAACTCCACGCTGAACAGAGCCACCCAAGAGAAGAGCAGGCTGGATCTCTCAGTCTAGAAAGAGCAGAGTGAGCGGACAGCAGGCGAGGCTCACCCAGGACTAATCCTGGTGCTTTCCTCGGCCAGGTGCCTGAAATACTAGGGGTTAGTCCACAGAGGACATTAAGCCACTGATGCAGACTGAAGCTTTTAGGAAACACGGGGAGGGAACGGGATCGCTAACAACACAACAGCACACTTCACATGTCCAAAAGTAAACAGAAAGAAACAGTCTCTGCAAGATTTTAATGCTCAGTTTTCACAAACACAAGTTTCTATCCAATTTGATGACTTACAGTAAAATGTACTAGAGCCTTTAAAAAATGGGCATTATTCAACTATCCTCCGTAGTCTCTTCCAATGTTTTAAAATTCATCACTGTGAGTTTTTACCTAAGACTCTACTGTATTTACATTTGAATTGCATGTCTTAAGAATAAACGAAATCCATGATATTTTGGTTAACTCAGTGCATTTATAAAATGAAAAGTTCTATCAAAATACTTTTCACTGGAAAAAATAAATAGAACAGACAATGGATCTACTCAAAGTACACATTCACTTTGGTAGACTTCAGTGTAGGACAGTTCATGACAAGCATATTTGCCCTTATTCCCCAGAGCCGATCAGCTTCCAAGCTAATGGTTAAATCATTTTTAACTGAGATTTTATCGTGTTGATATCTGGCTCACTCCACATCATCTTCAGCCAAGCTCTGAGCACTTACAATTCTCTGAAAGAAAAAGAAAATTAATTTTGAGAAGTGTCTCATTTCAACTTAAATTGCTCTTCACATTCAAAGAACCAACTTGCTAAAATTCTAGGATTCTGACACGGGTTCCACACTTCACACACTATCGTCGGAGAAGACAAAGGTCAGCTGGGAATGGTGACATATACCTGAAATCAACACTAGGGATGCTGAGGAGGGAAGGGGGAGTGTTGGTGATGATGTTGAGGGTATGATCATACAAGCTCCAGTTCCTTACCAAAATTCAAATGAATAAATGAAGTACACGACACAATGCTGTTTGTCAATTATATAATATACTAAAGACTTTTCACCTCCACACAAACCAAGAACAGCAATGAAAATTCTTACCAAGCCTTCTTCTATGCTTCATAATTTCCCTTTCCAGCTCACAGCCATTACAGGAAGCAACACTACATTACAAAATTAACCCCCCCCCAAAAAAAACCCTGCATATATAACTTATGAAAGACAAGGTAACAGAGTAATACCAGCTGTTGAAGAATTTAGATGCCAACCAGGCAAATCTATGACGTTCTTACAGTGCTGCTTCGGCCTGGCCTTGCTTTGTTCCCAACAGTCCCTGTACTGGACGCTTAGGTACCAGTGTGGCAGTATTGAGAATCTGGGCTCTTAAGGCCTAGATGACAGTGATGAGATCTGTAAGGTTCCACTCTCCAACTGGATCAGTTCCTGAACGAGCAGCTAAACACTGACTCCTCCCAGCCTTCATTGCCCACCACACAGGTCTGGTTCCCCTTTCAATTCTGTGTCACCATGTGACAGTCGGGTGGCTCCTGGACAGATACAGCCACAACAGCCAACTGCTTCGTCTTCTCCATTCTCAGAACTGGCTGTGATCACTGCAACACAAACAGACTAGAGAGCTACTCCTCCAACAGCACCTAACAGTAACTGAGGTGTGGACAGAATGGAACATATTCCTCTAACTTTAAAAGACTTAGCTCAAGTTCTTGGTTTTCTAAATCTTCCTCAAATCTTTGGGGGAATTTAATTTTTCCCCATGCCTCTAGCTGAGTTACTAAAAAATTTATGAAAATTTCCTTTCCCTTACCACTTGACTAATTCTTAACCATATCAAACTGAAAATCAGCACATGCAGTACCTGTTCTGAGATTCATTTTGGACTCCTTAGAAAGGATTTGTATGAACAGAATCCACTATATTGCATATTTACCCAATTTGTACCTAATGTTTTGAGACAAAATCTCACTAAAAGCCATGGCTCAGCCCCCCAGAGTACTGGGATTACAGGCATGCACCACCACACTCAACTATATTAACCATGAATACGTGCACTTTGCACTTCTGAGAAGAAATTTCAAAGCACACAACAGCAGCCCAAAGAGGTACAGACAGTACCAAGAATGGACACAGGGACACCAGGATGGTCCAGACTATGCAGTCTTGACTTCTGTATATCCCCTGCTAAGTTAACTAAACTGAAACTTTGATATGATGTCCTACAAGCATGTCCAGAGCCTTGAGCACAATGGACAAGGGCTCCAAAACGTACTGCATCCTTAGCAGGGGTAGCCAAGTGGCCTAATTTAGGGACTCAAATGTAAACAAAGGCCGTACACTCAACACCAAGCATGTACACTTATGATTCTTACCTAACAGATGCCTGGACCTTATGCTAGTCACCTGCACAATGTATCATTAGGAAAACCACTCCCAGGTCTGGCACATTCAGTATTATACGCTCAGTAGACTTGCCCCTGAGCATATAGTTCTCAGGTCAATTCATGTGTTACTCTCTCCAACACTTCAACTCCTTACCTGACTAATGGTGGGAAGCTTGGTCAGAAGCATCTGGAACACTGGTGGTGGAAGAGTTTGCTGTAACACTTGCAGCAGCTGCTGAGGCTGTCCACACACAGCGATTGCATTTGTCAGGTGGTCCACACCCTTCTCGTATTCACCTGCAAGATTGTACATAGTATCTGAAGCCATCAAAATTTAGTCATCAACCGATCCTAACCTAAATCACTAGCAAGTAAAAAATTGATACTGAACTTCCTTGCACCCATGGAATGAACATATTTTACCAACTGACTGCTGTGGATGGACTGAGGCACCAGCATCTAGTGCTTTCAGAGCCTCCCAAGCGTGGTCAGAAATAGCTAAATCTCAGCTCTTGTGGGAATTATGGGTATCCCACCTATACAAATCAGGACACCACCTGACTGTGTTGCCCGCTGTCATCTGGGTATGTGCAGCCATCACTCGGACTCTGCACGGCCAGTTCCTTTCCTAGGGTACTGAGATGTAATGATGGCCACCAGGAGACCCTGCCCCGGGACAGGCCCTGAGACCGTGTGATGCAGAGCTGCAGTTGACAGAATGACTGGCTCGCTTACTCAGTCCCTACTCTAGTAGACACCAGGCCTCCTCTGAGCCAACACTGGCAATAATCTTTTCTGTTTAACCAGCAGTGCTCATGCTGCAGCTGGCCAGACCAGAGGAACTTACTCATTCCAGGCTGAAGCACCACCCTGGTGCTAAGAACACACAGTGCCTGGGCCTCTCGGGCACCTCGGAAAATCTGTTCTTCTGTACTTAAGATTTGATTACTCACATTGTTCTTAATCTAGGTAAAGTTTGGAAACAAGTTAAGTTTGCTAGTTATTTGAGTACAAGAACTAGGCTACCTGACTCTTGGTGAAACTGACTGCACAAACTAAAACACAAAACTACTTCTCTTCGGAAAGAAACATTTCTTCTTTTTGGGCCCAGTGAGGTGGCTCTGCCTGGATATACCTTAGTTCAATCCCCAGACTCACATAAGGGTGGAAGATAACTGTTTCCAAGTTTTCCTCTAACCGCCACACCCACACATGGAATTCATGTACACATCCCACATTTTAAAACTTTAAGAAGTGTAAAGTGGATCACTACCATAAACTTTCCTCATAAAACAAATGGAACACAAATAAATATACATTATGCATGAAGTTGAACTCTATCTGAATCCAATATAAAATGTGAAACATGACACCAATTTTATCAATGATAGCAACAACTTCAAAAATACTTTTGCAATAAAAGCTAAAAAACAATCTCCCTAGGAACCATTTTTATTGTATAGTACAAAATGTTACCCAACTCTAGAACAAAATATACGTTATTAAGATGTTTAATAGCTGGGTGTGGTGGTGAATGCCTTTAATCCTAGCACTAGGGAGGCAGAGATAGGCTGGTCTACAAACTGAGTTCCAGGACAGCCAGGGTTATTACACAGAAAAACCCTGTCTCAAAAAATTCAAAAAAGATATATAAGGAAAAAACAAAACAAAACAAAACCAAAACCATCTTTTAATACAGGTAAGTAAAAAACTAAGACCCAAAGTAATTAAGTATCTAAATTCTGGACCACATAACTGATCAGATTTGAAACAAGATGCTAAAAACACTGGTGTGATGGCTACTCTGCCTGTCAACTTGACTCCATGTAAAAGTCAACGGAAACCCTAGCAGCTAGGCACATCTGAGGTTTTTTTTTAATTATTTATTTATTTTTATTTTATGTGCATTAGTGTATGTATGTCTGTGTGAGGGTGTCGGGTACCCTAGAACTGGAGGGACAGACAGCTGTGAACTGCCATGTGGGTCCTCTGGAAGAGCAGTCAGTGCTCTGAAGCGCTGAGCCATCTCTCCAGCCCTGGCCGCACATCTGGAGGCAGCGCACAGACACGAAAGAAGGCTTTGCTTTTCTGTCTGCTTGCCCTCACTCACCAGCAAGTTCATCTACCCCAAGCCACTCCCTTTCAGTGGTGTTAGAACACATTTCATGATTCCAACGTAGACTGAAAACTGGCAGCTCTCTAGGACATCCCTGGGACTCTAACATCAGATCAGGACTGCTGAGACAGTCTTGTGAACTTGGCCTTTCTGTGAGGAGATGCCATTGTTGACCACAGCCCATAAACCACTCAGGTGTATATGTTCATTCTACTGGTTCTGTTCTTTACAGAATCCTGACTAATAAATATTCCCGTGACCCTGGTTAGGTAAATTAACTTTCTTTTGGACCAACACTGAGGAAAAAAACCTGATTAGCAGGTGAGTGTTGGCAAACCCGGCTCACGTCACTTAAGTTACTATTTATACTGCACTATGGATACACACACACACACACACACACACACACTCTAAGTGACTTTAGAGTCATCTCTGATCTTATCTTCCATATCCTGTGACAGAGCAGTAAAACTCACTTAGAACACAGGGCCAGCAATGGCCCCATGAGCCTGTCTTTCTAGAGCCAGCCTTAGTATGAAGCACCTAACTCACCTGGAAATGCTTGAAATCTTTTTTCTAACGACAATTATGCAAGAAAGTCCTGTCATTATAAATTCTTATCAATATGAATAATTCATTCTACTTCTTTCTGAATCCTGAAATGACTATTACCTTGTGCTAATAACTCTTCACCAAGCTGTATCTCTTCAAGGAAGAATTTCTGAACAGCTTCAGCATCTTTTAAGTCAGGTAACTGGAAAAGGAATAAGAAGAAATTAAACCAAGAATATAATCAACACACAGAAAACCAATTACAATTTAAAAATGGAGGCAGAGACAGGTGAATCAGAGTTCAAAGCCAGCCTGGTCTTCAGTGTTCTAGGACAGCCAGGGCTACAGAGACCCTGTCTCAAAATATCCTCCCCCAAACAAAACAAACACCAAAGGGGGGGCGCTCATTCTAAGAAAACCAGAGTCAAAAAAGCTAAAGAGTACAAATATCTATTGTCTATACATCTATAAGAATCTTCATTACCTAAACATGTATCATCTATACAGTGCTGTTGTAGCCATTATAGATAAACAACTGTCATCCATTCACTCTTCTAATACTTCATACACATTTTCATGTGCACCCAGAGGACTTCTCTGTATTTGTTACACCTGGATATACATAGATATTTTCAGAGATGTAAATTTTCTTGCTGGTAGGACTAGAGGTTGAACCTAGGGCCCCCTACATACTAGAAAAGCACTCTACTACTGAGCTATATTCCCAGTCCTCTTCTTATTGACAAGATCTTAACAGGCTGGCCATAAACCTTCAAACCTCTGACCTCAGAGGGATCACAGGTCCTTGTCAACGGGTCTGCCAGACTGAGTTTCAAATAGCAGAACATACCACTGAGGGATGACAGCATACTCATTGTGCATTTGTTGGTCAGATCAGTTACTTCTAATTTTTTATGATAAACAACCATAAGCAATTGACAGGGAAAAGGGTACAGCTCACAATGCCCAGTTCTACCTGTTGAATTTTAAATAATATACCTCCCGTCAGACTCTCACACTTACACACAGGTCTGAAGTTATCTATCTATATCCCACATCTTGGAAAGGTAGTCTGGACATATTAGAAAAACACAGCAGTTCCCAGCTTCAATTCACTAGAACTTGTCAGCTATGCTGAGCACTCCACTGGATCAAAATAATAATAAAAGTGTAACATTTATCAGTCCCATTTTCCCTTGCCTGAATGAGCTTTTAAAAGAACAATTAAGAGCCAGGCAGTGGTGGCACTGGGCTTTAATGCCAGCACTTGGGAGACAGAGGCAGGTGAACCTCAGCGAGTTCAAGGCCAGTCTGGTCTACAAAGCAAGTTCCAAGACAGCCAGAACTATTACACAGAGAAACTCTGTCTTGAAAAATAAAAAAATTAAAAGATTTAAATAAAAAAGGGGAACAATTAATGATTTAATAATTGTTCTGCAAATCCAAAGGAACGTCAGCAAGGGGAAAGTGACACGTACAGTGACTAGCACTTGCCTAGTTTACTTACATATCACAGTTTAGTTTTAATCGAGTAGCTAAAAAAGCCTAGTCATTAAAAATTATGAACACAGGACCTATGAAAAGAAATGAAATAACTGACATTCTACAAGTTATGGTTTGTTTCTTAAAATCCATCAGAATCTAGACAATTCTGATCCATAGGTTTAAAAACTTTTAAAGAACTTTGAATTGAATACACAGGGTTCCTTTTGTTATTTAAGACAAGCCCATTATGTTGCCCAGGCTGCCTCTGCCTGAGTGTCTCAAATACTAGGATTACAGGTGTGGATCTTTTAAAGGACACTAGAGGGAGGAAGGAAAATCCAATCAAATGCATTTTAAACCATTCTGAAGTAGCTGAGAACACTTTTAACCTCTTGGTGTCCACATCTCTAGAGACCCTCACTCTGCTGCTAACCCAGTAAGACGTTTGTTGTTACCACCAAAGGAAAATATAGCAGGCCTGGATAACCTACAGTCTAAGTTACTCTCTTACAAAAACACAGACCATTTTATTACCTTGGAAAGCCCAGCTCTCTCCTTAGCAAGCTTCTGTTTCTTTCTTCCTACAAGAAAAATAAAGTAAAATTCACTTGGCTATCATCAAAAGAATCAACACGTCTAACTGTTTCAGCAATCATTAATTCTACAAACCATTCCTAACCCCAGCATCCCTGTCTCCCTGGTCCGTGGTGAGTGAACCGGCATTTCTGGATAGCAGCTTTCACTTTTCCTCTATATCATCAGGTCTAGCAATTCACAAGATAGACTGTTCCAATAGCTGCACCCCAGCAGAACAAAGTTCCCTTTCCAAGGTAAAAGAATTAAGTGTTTGTTGCTGAATTATACCAGATTCTAGCTTTACTATGAAGAATTATCCAGCATTCTTAAGCAACAAGGTTTTGTAAAAACAAAATATGTGACTTTGGTGGAGGTTTTTTTTTTTTTTTAGACAAGTTCTGTGTATCCAGGCTGGCCTGCATCTGTTACATAGCCAAGGCTCCTGCTCCAGCTCCCAAGCTCAGGGATTACAGGCATGCAACAAGGTCCCAGTATTATTTATGTTTGACCAAAAAAGAAAAGGGGAAGAGGTCGTACTCCAAAATGCATTGTTACAAACAGCTGGCTAGTTAAAAATGGCCTCACAGCTCTCTCTGGTATGCCCCATAAGAAAGAGCATTAGTGTATGTGGACCATCGACTTACAATAGAGTAAGGTACAGTACCTGGCCCTATTAAAACTGATCTAATAATAGTATTTATATAATTATGGGGCTTCTAGCAGGCTTGTGGGTTAACAGATGCAAACATCTGGCAAGAGTACTTAGGTTCATATTCTGCCATTTTGGCATCCCACAGTTAAATATTCAATACCTAGAAAGTAACAATCACTTAATACTATGACTTAGGACAATAACAAGGTGGCCCAAGTGAAGGGCTCTCTCTAGAGTAAATTTTAAGCAAGAAAATCTAACTTCAAAAAGTCTCTGAAAACCTTAAAGTACTCTACGAATCCAAGTCTCACCACATGACTAAAGGACCTGTTGGTTAATCCTTAAAATGTAAGAACAGCTACTCAAGCATCCTAACTTCAGAACTCCTGTCCTCAGTGTACAGTGTTCAGATGAAAAGCGCCCCTTAAAACAAAGCAAAACTGTGTAATACACAAGAAAAAATACAATATACTAAACCATAATTTTGAGAAAATAACAAAATGAATCCCATTAGTTTTCAATAACCATCTAACTTATTAACAGTGCAAGGGCTTAGTTCATAAAAGTGTCTCTGTAATGAAAGGACGGATAGAAAAAAAACACACAATGGAACAAGGTATACATTCAATCAGCAAAATAAGGCCTTGTTTTTTATTTGTTGATATTAATCTCAAATGACATTTGCAAACCTTCGATGTTTAAACAACTATGAGCACTTTAAAAAAAAAAAGTGGTGGGCAGCCTTTAATCCCTGTGCTTGGAAGGCAGAAGCATTCAGATCTCTTTGAGTTCAAGGCCAGCCTGGTCTACAGTTGGAGCTCTAGGACAACCAAGGCTACACAGTGAAATCCTGTCTCAAAAAACCAAAAGCCCATGTAAACCAGGCGTTGTGGCACACACCTTTAATCCCAGTATTCGAGGCAGAGGGATATCTGAGTTCAAGGACAGCCAGGCTTAGAGACCTGGTCTCAAAACCAACCAAACAAAAAACCATGCAAGGCCTAAGTTCAGAACCACCCCAAATCCAAGCCATTATTTAAACATTTAAATAAACTGATTTAATGTATCCCTAAGTGGAGTATCTTTCACAGAGCAGTTACATAAATGAAATGAACCTCAAGTGGGTACAGCAACTATTTAGATACCTGAGATCAAGCCACTGGGGAAAAGTGATGATCATCTGCTTACAGAAGCCAAAAGTCTGAATTAAAATATCTAATTTAATCTCAAACCCTCAATTTAAGCCCCTTTTCATTAAATAACAAAACAACAAAAATGAATTGAGAAACTATCCTTTTACTGCAGATGTAAATGATTTGAGTCAAACTACTTAATTCAAATGACTCAAATCCTTAAGAATCAACTATATAGCTTTAAAGAAACTGAAATTATTCATTACTTGCTAGCAAAAATTAAACAAAATCTAGCATTCATTAATACCATGGTCTGCAACGGTACTAAGGACCCCTAAAGTGTAGATTCGTGTTTGTCACAGTTGCAGTTAGTAACTCACTTAGGCCATTAGAGTCCGGCTAAAGCTAGGAGGAAAACCACCCCACCACCAACACAAACCGACTACAACAGAACATGATGGGGGGGGGGGCAGTGGTAGAAGACCTAGCCTGAAGAAAAAGGCCATGGAGTCCATCGCCAGAAGGGCACAAAGGAAATGCTGGAAAGGTTATTTTGAAAAGAACACCGCTAGCAGGGCGTTATGCCCCAAGCCTTTAATCCCACCGCTCAAGAGGCAGGTTGATCTGAGTCCCAAGGCCAGCCTGGTCTACATACTGAGTCCCAGTCTCAAAACAAAAACCACAAAACCCCAACGACCCTAATTTTCCTGAAATGACAACTTACAATTTCTTCAACCAAAAACCATTTTCTCACGATTTCCAACAAGGCCTTCCAAAGGAATGAACCTGCTTAGCTATCTCCATGTGTGAGACACACAGCCCTCTGGGGACAGACTGTACTTGTGTACTCAGTCACACTTCGCAGCCAGCATTTATGGAGGGGTCTTGTTCAAGAGGCAACTTGTACTACCTTACTTCACAGTTAAGACAGATTAGGATTTGGAGTTGATGCTGCGGTCAGCAAACAATCTGGTCCCGGAAATGCAGTCTGAAGCCAGGCAGCATTCTTTCCATTACTCTACCTCGCCACGGACAAAAACGAATTCTCTGTATCTCCCTACATGATGAAAATAATGGGCTACTGGAGCACACAGGCTCAGGAAGGGATGGACCTCCTACAGGAGGCGGTAAAGGAAGTGCAATGTCCGATCACCTGTAACTACCCGAAAAGTTAAAAATGATCTAGGATGGCTTAACTAGAGAAGTTCGGTAGAATGGATGGTGACTCTTAAGCCACTGGCTGACCGCCCTACACAAGGCGCAAAAACGCTTGCTATTCCAACAAATGTTCTTTCGGACTGTTGAAAGGTCCCTTGAAATTCAGGGGGGAAAACACGCCGGTTAAAGGAGAGCCACGACTTCCCTGGTAAACCTCTTAAAAGATGTCGCAGGTATGAAATAAGACTGAGCCACGTGAGGAGCGCAGCCCTTTGGACTCCCCCGCATTTCTCTAGCATTCACTCATATCTTGGAAGCACCAGAGCGAAGCCACCAAGAGGGTTTAAGAATGCAAGGGTGACACCGCACTGAGTCTGCAGATTCAGGCTCTAGCTAAACCGCGTCAACACTTTCGGGGTCAAGGATTGGCTTTAACCATGTGTAGGCGCCCATCTGTAAAGCCAGTCATGAGAGGAGGCACCACGAGTTCGAAGCCATCCTACAAAATACAGCAAGACCGTGTCGCATTTTTTTTTTTAACAGTGAAGTAGGCAGAGACGGTTCCTGCCTGTCATCACGGCACTCGAGAGTGCTGAAGCAAGGGGGCTGCCACAAGGTCGAGGCTAGCGCGGGCCACACCGAAGGACCCCATCGTAAACACGCACACACCCCACAGAAGTTTAGTGGCTGGGCGGGGG